TTAATTCGGGCTCCCTCATAAGCCATCTGGAGTACAATTATCCTTTCCACTGGTGCAGTTTTCCCATTCTGCGGCACAGTCCTTCATCCAAAGACAGAGGATCTAGAGAGAAATTAGGAGGGAGCCCCCTGGGAGAACTATTTTAATGTCGTTACCTACTAAGTTTAATGAGAACATTTAAAGATCCTTTGCTTATTGATGCAAATGTGGGGGAAGCTTGAGAGAAAGGGAAGGCTTCCAAAGCAAAGGTGCATCTGTCCTGGCCTTCCTATTAATGAAAGCCCCCCCCCCCAACCTCCCTTGGCTTTTCGGTGCCCAGGGGTGTGTGTGGTCTCTCGAGTGCCCTCCCCCTTGGATGCCAGCCTACCAGCAAGGCTACTCACACGATGGCGTCCGTCTCCTGGGTCAGCCGGGGGGCTGTGCAGCCCAGCAGCTCCCCTGGGGAAAGGGGCTTGCACTGGGGGGTCCAGACGCTGTAGTCGGGCTGGAGCTCCCGGGAGGCAGCCTGCGGAGGGAGGGAGGGAGGCGTGAAGAGGCTCCAGGGGCCCTTTTGCAGGGGACACGGAGGGGAGAGATCCAGGAGTAGCACATGGCCAACTGGAGCAATTCATTGCAGGGCTCCCAGTGGGGGGATCCGGCCTCTGAGGGTCCCTGGCTGCTCCTTCCTGGATCCTAGGCAGCGACAGGCCTTTTGGGGTGGGGGCGCTCTCTAAAAGGCTCCCCATTGGCCACCGAGGACCCAGAAGGCCTGGTGTGGGGCTGGCACCTTCGTACCTTCACCCCATCTGTTGTTCTCCAGCCACGGAGTAAACATGGCAGGGATGCACGGGGGGGGAGGGGGAGGCTCCCCTGGCCTTCACGGGGGCCCATAAGCGTAATTAGGGGAGAAGGGACACTTCCAGACAAGCCCCAGGAAACACAAGGCAGCACTGACTATGCGCTCAGGCAGCCCCATCAGGGCTCCGGAGCACCAAGGGTGTCATTCACGAAAGCCCCCACCCCACCCCCCGCGTGGGAGGCTGCCCCTGTGCAGAGGGCGAACATGGGGCCTTCCTGTGTTCGCAGTGGGAGGCAAAGGCAGACCCACAACCAGGGGGGAGGCCTCAGACCCAGCTCCCCCTTACTTTAAGGTTGGGGGGGGGGGGAAGAACTGCTGTTGCTCCTTCCCTCCCCCCGGGAGAACTGGGCAGGGAGGGGCAATGCAGCTTCCTAGATGCCCTGATTGCAAGAGGCAGGGGGGGCATCCCCCGCATACAAATTCCCCCCGCACGCACCCCACCCCCACCCCTGGTGGGCTCCGTTCTACCCACCTGCAGAGCAGATACAAACTGGACCGTGCTAACGAGCGCCAATTTAGCCCCCACCGGGAAGTTGAAGCGGAGGGTCTCGATGAGGTGGGCCGTGTCAATCTTGATGTCCACAAACACGTAGAGCATCTTCAGGCCCTGCGAGGAGTCGATGGGAACTGCAGGGACAGAGGGGGTGGTTGAGTAGCCCTGTGCATTGGAGGAGGAGGAGACGACCCTTGGAAAGCTGCATGCAACCGAATTTCATTTTAATGTATGCTGATTAGTGGACATTCCAAAGTGACAATAAAGTTATTATTATTCTATTCTATTCTATTCTATGACATATTACAGGTAGTCCTCGACCTACGACCACAATTGAGCCTTAGCAAATGTGTTGCTCAGTGAGACGTTTGTTCAGTGAGCATTACCCCATTATCCCACCTTTCTTGCAATAATTAAGTGAATCACTGCAGTTGTTAAGTCAGCAACACTTAAGTTGTTTAAGTGAATCCGCTTTCCTTACTGACTTTGTCAGAAAACCGCCAAAGGGGATCCCGTGAGCCTGGGCTGTTGCAGCCGTCATAAATACGAGTCAGTTGCCAAGCGCCTGAATTTTGATCCCCCGACTGTGGGGATGCTGCAACGGACATAAGTGTAAAAAGCACAAGTCACTTTCTCCAGTGGCCTCGTAACTGCGAACTCTTGTAAGTCGAAGTCCATCTGCCTATGAGGGTCGGAAAGGACCCTGGAGATCTTCTAGTCCACCCCCTGGTCAAGCAGGGGACCCCCATCCCTTCTGAAAAACATCCCGTGTCGAAGCAACCACAGCTTCTGGTGGCAAGCGGTTCCCCTGGTAATGGTCCTCCCTGTGAGAGGAAGTTTCTCCTTAGTTCCATGTTGCTTCTCTCCTCCATTAGTTTCCATCCGTGGTTTCTGGTCCTGCCCTCTGGCGCTTTGGGAATCAGGTGGACTTCTTTGTGGCAGCCCCCCAAGAATTGGAGCACTCCAAGTCCTTCTATTCATGAAACGGTTCAGTCTCCAAGTCTCCCCTGCACCGAAGGGAGCAAAGGCTGCGTCTGCCAGCTGCCCCCCACAAACACCCAGGGTCCAAGCCCAGGGGGGGCTCCAAGGGAAGCAGGCAGGGATCCCCCCCCCCGGTCTCTCTCTCTCTCTGGGGCCCTCGGAGTCAAAAAGGCGGAGGAGAAAATGGAATCTGGGTGCAGATTAATTACTAGACTGAAGGAGGCAACTTAAAAAAAGCTCCTTGCATTTCAGTCGTCCAGTCTAGATAATTCTTCATCCTCCCCCCAATCCGAACGGCCAAGGATGGCTGCCAAATCCCCCGGTTGCCTCCTCTGAGTGAGTCACCGGTCGGATTGGAGAGAGNCTCCCAGTGGCATTTCCGGACTCTGCCGATTAGCCCAAAGCGAAGGCCAGCCGGCCACGGAGACCCCCGCTTTGTCCCCACCAAGGGTCCTCTCTAACTGGTAGGGGATCCGCAGACCCTCCATGAGATTCCGGAAGAGGCGGACTCCCCTGTCGTTTCCATGCGGGGAATGAATGGCCAGGCATTCCTTCTCACCTGGGCTGCAAAGGACAGAAGGGGGCAACCGAGGTCATTCCAATTCAGAACAGAGTTGGAAAGGGGCCTCGGAGGTCTTCTACTCCAACCTCCTGCTCAGACAAGGGGCTCTCCAGTCTCTCCCTAAAAAAACCTCCAGTGATGGAGCACCCACAACCTCTGGTGGCAAGCTGTTCCACTGGTTAATTGTTGTCAGGAAATTCCTCCTTAGTTCTAGGTTGCTTCTCTCCTCGATTAGTTTCCATCCACTGCTGTCTTCTTTGCGACCGACCCTCAAATAATACTGGAAGGCTGCTATCATGTGGCCCCCGGCCCTTCTCCTCATCAGATCAGCCAGGACGCCTGGCAGAAGGGACCCCCAACTGGTGCCATTCTGGGCTCCTTGGGGGGGTTTGCCCTCAGTGGGGGCAGAGGGCGGCCTCAGGGACCGACGCTGGCAGGCAGCAAGCAGCTCAGGGGTCCTGCGGTTGCTGCCGCTCCCCTCCCACCCACCCCAAACTCCCCAGGTGCTCCTGAAAACAGCCCCCCTGCCCCCCTTTGCCAGGTGGGCTGGAAGGCTGCCTCTCCGCCAAAGGTGGCCGGCCCTCCAGCCTGGGGGCCCCAGGGGGCAGCTTGGCTTAGAGGTGCCCGTTTTCGTCCTCTCTTTGCCGAGGGGTTCGCATTATTTGTTCTCCGTACTATTTATTTCTTAATGTAGATTTATTCATTATCTCGTATCTGTGGATTTTCTATCTGGGGTTTTTATCCGGTTCCCACGTGCCGCCCTGAGTTGCTTTAGGGCAGCCATACAGATTTGGTAAATAAGTTAATAAACACGGCACAAGTGGGCCTTGCGGGGGAGGGCTGCCAGGGGCTGAGAGCACATCTGGGCAGTGTCTGGGGGGGGGGGCGCTCTGGCAAGAAGAGACATTTGGAAGGGAGGGAGGGGGAGGGGCAGGAGGAAAATCCACTCCCTGAATTCCCTGCCTAGAAGGGCAGGGACTGCAGGCTCCGGCAGTCTTAAATGGAGCCCCCAGAGCCCAAGGCAGTGTACCTGTCACCGCCACCTGTTCTCAAGGAAGAAGCAGGGGCAGGAAAGGCTCTGGGCCCCTGGGGGGAGAGGCAGCCAACGGGGAGGGACACGGCTGGGTCAGACTCGGCTTCACCCCTCTGAAGAGCCCCGGGTGAGTTACCTGGCCTTCCCTCCTTGGCTGGACCCCCTCTCGCCACAGCCCTCTCCCTTCCCCCTGTGGGGTGGGGGGGGCACACCAAGAGCCCCGGCCAGGCCCCTTCCCCTCCCAGCCGGCCGCCAGGTACCTGTAGGCGGGGACATCAGGGTTGGCGATCATGATGGACTCCAGGTGGAAACGGCCGTCTCCCAGGTAGCTGAAACAGAAAGGGGGGGGGTCAGCAAAGTAGGGGGGAGCCGAGTGGGAAGGGACCCTGAGGAGGGTCCAAGAGCCACGGGGGAGCCTGGCAAAGGGCAGGGAGGGAGGGAGGGAGGGAGGGAGGGGTGTGATGAGCCGTCTGTCATCCCAGCAGTTCAAAAGCAGATGGAAGTAGAAACAGTCCTTACAGCAATTCGTTTAGCGACCATTCAAAGTTACAACGGCACTGAAAAAAGGGACTCGTGTTTTTCACCCTGACGGCCGCGGCAGCCTCCACGGGATCCAAATTCAGCCGCTTGGCAACGGACTCCTACTTACGACGCCTGCGGTGGCCCAGGTTGGTGAGATCCCCTTTTGCGACCTTCTGTCCAGCAACGTCAATGGGGAAGGTGGACTCGCTTAACGACTGTGTGTGTCTACCTTAAGAACTGCTGTGATTCACTTCACCACTGTGGCCAGAAAGGTTGTAAAATGGGGCAAAACCCACTTAAGGACTGCCTTGCTTAGCAACAGAAATTTGGGGCTCAATCGGGGTCATAAGTCGAGGACTACGGGAAGATAAATAGGCCTCCCTTCGGTGGGAAGGTAGCAGCCTTCTGGGAGCCTTGGTCCCTCCGCTAAGAAAGGGAGGCCAGTGGCGCCCCCTAGAGTCTGGCGGGAGGAAGACCTTTTTTAAAATGGGCCGTTTGCACCCACAATCCCGGAATCTCCTGCGTCTCCTTCTCCTGGGCCACCCAGGTTTCCTCCCCAATCAAGGCTCTGTGGTGCATCTGGCCACGGAAGCCCCCTCCTCAAATTTCCCTTCTGCCCTTGACCCTGCTTACCCTGCCGAGACCACCCAGCCGCCCAGAGGCCCTCCTGAGCCTCCTCCTTTTCTAGGTGGGGATCTGGAAAAGCTTTTGATTCCTTTGCTTTCACAGATCTCTCATTCACTCGGAAGGCCCCCCACTCTTGTGGGGGATGGGCAGGGGTACCCAAACTCAACCCACAGGTGGGTAAAAGAAAATACAGGGCCTCCCTTTGCCTCCTTAACGGGGAGCTGCATTGAGCAAACACGCTGCCTTAATGTTTTAAAAAAGCCATCATAAACTGGAAGAGAAGAAGATGCAGCAGCTATTTATCCCCTTATTTATCAAGTTAGACTTATATACCGCTTCATGGGGCTTTCAGCCCTCTCTAAGCGGTTTACAGAGTCAGCATATCATCCCCACAGTCTGGGTCCTCATTTCACCCACCTCCGAAGGATGGAAGGCAACCTTGAGCCAGTGAGATTTGAACCGCCGAACTGCAGAACTGCAGTCAGCTGAAGTAGCCTGCAGTGCTGCATTTAACCACTGCGCCACCTCGGCTCTGGGGCAGCTGAGAGACCCTCTGCTGTGGAAGAGGCACGGGGGGGGGGAGGGCTTCTTCCTTTCCACATCAGGACTGCCCAATGTTGGCCACCTTACGACCTCTGGACTTCGACTCCCAGAATTCCCCAGCTCTGCTCTGCTGGATGGTCTCCAAGTGGCCAACATTGGGCAGCCCTGCTCTACATCAAACACCCAGTTTTTGGAGCTGATGACCCCCCCCCCCAAAGCCCCTCTCTTGGGAGGGGGGGCAAGGGGCAGCAAGGAAGCTCTTGGCACCCGCAAGCTCCTTCCGACTCTCCAAAAGCAGCCGGACCGAGAATGGAAGAGAGATGCTGGGATGTTGGGGGGGGGGGGTGTCTTAATCGGGAGGCACCTCGGGGCCAGTTTTTAATTCTATTTCAAGTCAGCATCTGCCCTGCCAACTCCTCCCTTTGGCTGCCCTGGTGGGGGGAGAAGTCGGAAAATGGATCCCGACAGAAAACTTGACAATTTGGGGGGGTCAAATCTAATTTGGCCATTTAGAGAAAGTTGCCCCGAGACGGCTGAACTAAAAGCAGCCTGGCAGCAAAGGGTGAAGCAGCGCAGTGCCCACCCCTCCTGCCCCCAGCTGCCTTGGCTGCCTTCCAATGGGACACACACACTGCCGGTCTCTGGAAACAGCCGCCCCGGGATTTCCAGGACTGGGAATTTGGCAAACCACTCTGGAGGGGTGGGGTGGGGGCTGAGCATCTGGCTCTGACCTGGGCAGAATCCCACCTGCCGGGAGATAGGAGTAGAGGGGGGTGGGTGGAGGTGTCTTCCCTCTCACCCCAGCAGCTCTCCTGCAGCCACACTGCCTCTCTCCAAAAGGGCATTCAAATTTTATTTTATTCTATTATTTTATCTCATGTTTCTTATTTTTATAAACAACACAAGACTGTGAACATACGTAAATCTCTCCCCACTCCTCCTCCTCTTCCTCTTGTCCAGAGAACAACAATGCTGTGAGGAGGGTTGGGGTGGGCTGAGAGAGACGGAGGGGAAGGAAGGGAGCCCACCAATGCCAACCAACTGCATGAAGAGGAAGATAAATGCTTATTTATTTTATCAAAAACCTTGCTGTAGCTGCCCTTCTTCCAACCAACTCTGGTTGGCTCCCAATCACAGGTGAAAAGACATATAAAATCACATTAAAACTATAAAAATAAGCTGATTAAAACATGAAGACATACAAACAAACAAAAAATTGGTGCGAAATCAAACTTCCAACGTGTGATTATCCAGTTTTCTCCCAGAGCTTGGCGGGAAGCCGGGTCTTCAAGGCTGAGAGGGGGAGGGGGCTGCCAAACTCCAGGGGGGGGTCAGTCTTCCCTACGACAGAGGCTGGCAGGGAGAAGGCCCACTGGGCCCCAGGAGGAGGAGGAGGAACGGGGGGGGGAGCTGGGGCAGGACAGAAGGTCACCTTGCCTGACCAGGGGCTCCCCTCTACTTCCCCCCCTCCAAGCCCTCCTCTGCGCCTCCTCCAGCCCTTCGGCATTCACAGCACATTAAGCATTTCCCTGCTCCAATAATTAGGCGCGCAGCCTGTGGGGCTTGGCTGATTTGCTGCCCTTAAGGAAAAAGAACCAGCTGTGCCATCCAAGCTGCCCGTCCCTCTTCCGGCCCCCGGCTCACTCGCTCTGTCGCCCCGCATGGAGCAGAGCTGGTGGCTGGCAGAGGGGACCACGGAGGTAAGAACAATGGAGTTGGAGGGGAGCTTGGACGCCTTCTAGTCCAGCCCCCTGCTCAAGCCGGAGACCCCCGGCCATTTCAGACAAGCAGCTGCCTAGTCCCTTCTTGGAAGCCTCCAGTGATGGAGCAGACGCAACTGGGCAGTCGGAACAATTAATCCGTGGAAGAGAAGTTGCCTCCAAAGGTTGCGGCTGCTCCAACCCTGGAAGTTTTGAAGAAGAGACTGGACAGCCATTTGTCTGAAGGGTTTCCTACCTGAGCAAGGGGTTGGACTAGATTACAGTGTTTTTCAACCTTGGCAACTTGAAGATGTCCGGACTTCAACTCCCAGAATTCCCCAGCCAGACATCGCCGGATTGGGGATTCTGGGGGGTGAAGACACGGCATCTTTCAGT